TTATTATTGTTATGATTATCATTATTTTTTTGTTATTATTACTATCATTATTATAATCATCAATTATATTATTATCATTATTGAGCAACTTTATTCGGGGAACCTCTGCCCTAGTGTTTGAAACTATTTCTGGTCAACAGTTCATGAATGTAATATTTCTAATCTGTTGAAGCAATACAAAATAGGTTTCAAGCGCATAGGATACACACCTCGTCTTTACCTTTAGGTCGATTAAAAAAAAAAATCCCGGTTTCTCATCAGAACTTTTTCAAAAATCAAATGTGACTTGATTTTTTTTTTTATTGTTGCATCGATGTCAAGTCTCATTACTTTTTATAGGTAATGCCAAGAAATTGGAGAACTCTGCATGTACAAAAATGTTATTTGTAATGAAAATAAAGGTAATAATGGATTTGAGTTTCTTGGTAGTTTTACGACTCGAGGACAGATTCCATTATTGGTTACTTCTCAGGGGAAGACCCATTAGTGCCACAGGTACATATTTTTCATTTAAGACTAACAGAGATGAGATAAATTAACTGAAACGTTGTAGTTCGCACAGATATAGTTTTAAGGCTCTAAGTGGCGGCCATTTTGGTTGTTTACAAACGGGCCTCGAAGCGAACTACTTCCGACTTCGTCCGTTCATTTGATTTTCCCGCGCAACGCATGGTGCGTTTTGCCCGAATGCGAAGACATTTTGCGAACGACGGGCTCCTATGGCGCATTTTCGTTGAATATTTTTGAGGAAAAAAAAGATCGATGTGGCGGCGATTTTCAGATACGAACGCTGATGAGAAACCGATTTTTTAATAAGCCTTCCCTCAAGGATGAGGGGCGGAAACTAGTTCTGCACTGGCACATTTAATTTCTCTATATAATATTCATGCACATATAGTAATGTGTGCGTTTGTGCATATATATGTACATGTATGTATTTAGGTGCATGTATTCATGTTTGTATGCGTGTAAATAAATAAATAAATAAATAAATAAATAAATAAATAAATAAATAAATATATATATATATATATATATATATATATATATATATATGTGTGTGTGTGTGTGTGTGTGTGTGTGTGTGTGTGTGTGTGTGTGTGTGTGTTGTATGTGTGTATATGTGTGTGTGTATTTAATATTATATATATATATTATATATTTAATATTATATTTTTGTATGTATGTATCTGTATATAAATACATAAATATTAATGAATAAATTGATATACATATATGTGTAAATATAAATAGCTAAATAAAAAATATATACATAAATACAGAAAGACACATATATATGTGTATGTATATTATGTATACAGGGGCGCCGAGAGAAATTATATTTGGCAGTGCCGGACACACACACACACACACACATACGCATACATACATATATGTGTGTGTATGTATATTATATTATATTATTTACATATATATATATATATATATATATATATATATATAATATATATACACACGCACACACACACAAATCTATATCTACATATATGTATAATATATATTTATATGTTAGTGTGTGTGTGTATACGTTCGTCCGTGTATGTGTGTTTATGTTTGTATGCATTACATACATACATGCATTATATTTATGTGTGTGTAGTACTTCAAATACAATATTTAGTTCCTTTACTCAAACACTTCTCTCACAATCATGACATCTGTCAATAATAATGAGCTTTATTTAAGACCATATATGGCTGTAAACTTTTGATTTAGTGAACAAATGGCTTAAAGGTGAGTTCTCAGTTTTCACAGTACCCGGCGATTAATCTGAAACGTCCACTTTTGACACTTGCTCTTATCAAAAATATAATTAATGCAGGAAATAGGGCCCGCAGTATCACAGTGCCTTGCCACATACCAGCACGCTGAACGATTGTACTTATCAGGACGGTATGAACACATCCGCGACCTAGTTGTTCCCATCTCGAAGCAGGCTGGGAGGGTATAGCTGGTACGCTGTAAGGAAATGGCCGGTGCACTGGAGGGAACAGCCTGGGGGATACAGCCGGTGCACTGGAGGGAACAGCTGGGGGACATAGCAGGTGCACTGGAGGGAACAGCCTGGGGGATACAGCCGGTGCACTGGAGGGAACAGCCTGGGGAATACAGCCGGTGCACTGGAGGGAACAGCCTGGGGGATACAGCCGGTGCACTGGAGGGAACAGCCTGGGGAATACAGCCGGTGCACTGGAGGGAACAGCCTGGGGATACAGCCGGTGCACTGGAGGGAACAGCCTGGGGGATACAGCCGGTGCACTGGAGGGAACAGCCTGGGGGGATACAGCCGGTGCACTGGAGGGAACAGCCTGGGGGATACAGCCGGTACACTGGAGGGAACAGCCTGGGGGACATAGCAGGTGCACTGGAGGGAACAGCCTGGGGGGATACAGCCGGTGCACTGGAGGGAACAGCCTGGGGGCATAGCAGGTGCACTGGAGGGAACAGCCTGGGGGGATACAGCGGTGCACTGGAGGGAACAGCCTGGGGGGATACAGCCGGTGCACTGGAGGGAATAGCCTGGGGGACATAGCAGGTGCAATGGAGGGAACAGCCTGGGGGGATACAGCCGGTGCACTGGAGGGAACAGCCTGGGGGATATAGCAGGTGCACTGGAGGGAACAGCCTGGGGATACAGCCGGTGCACTGGAGGGAACAGCCTGGGGGATACAGCCGGTGCACTGGAGGGAAGAGCCTGGGCGATACAGCCGGTGCACTGGAGGAAGAGCCTGGGGAATACAGCCGGTTGCACTGGAGGGAAAGCCTGAGGATACAGCCGGTGCACTGGAGGGAACAGCCTGGGGATACAGCCGGTGCACTGGAGGGACAGCCTGGGGATACAGCCGGTGCACTGGAGGGAACAGCCTGGGGGATACAGCCGGTGCACTGGAGGGAACAGCCTGGGGGATACAGCCGGTGCACTGGAGGAACAGCCTGGGGATACAGGCCGGTGCACTGGAGGGAACAGCCTGGGGGATACAGCCGGTGCACTGGAGGGAACAGCCTGAGGATACAGCCGGTGCACTGGAGGGAACAGCCTGGGGGGATACAGCCGGTGCACTGGAGGAACAGCCTGGGGGATACAGCCGGTGCACTGGAGGGAACAGCCTGGGGAACAGCCGGTGCACTGGAGGGAACAGCCTGGGGATACAGCCGGTGCACTGGAGGGAACAGCCTGGGGATACAGCCGGTGCACTGGAGGGAACAGCCTGGGGGATACAGCCGGTGCACTGGAGGGAATAGCCTGGGGAATACAGCCGGTGCACTGGAGGGAACAGCCTGAGGATACAGCCGGTGCACTGGAGGGAATAGCCTGGGGAATACAGCCGGTGCACTGGAGGGAACAGCCTGGGGGATACAGCCGGTGCACTGGAGGGAACAGCCGACACGCTGGGAGGAACTGCTTGTGTGGTGGAGGAACTAGCTGGTATAATGGAAATGAACAGCTGGTACACTAGATAGAACAGCTAAAACGGTGAAGAGAACAGTCAGCATACTGTATACAATATGTAGGAGGGAAAGGACCAGCTGGTACACAGGAAGGACTAGCTGGCACACTGGAGGGAACGGCCGTTGGTAGAAAAACCGCAGCGACGATATGGAAGAAGAGGACCAGTCAGTGGAGACTGCTTAGGTTAACCCGTTGCTTGAACGGTTATCCAAGGAGGAAGGCTAGATCAGTAGCAATTCTAGGTGTCATGGCGTCCCACAGGGCTATTCTGATGAATTTTCAATGAAAAATATAATAATTAAAATCATTATTTTCCATGCTTTTTGAAAATTCAAGACCATCGACCATATTCACAAAGCATCCATAACTTTTGTGACGTCATCAAAATAAACCCCATGCACTTTTTTCCAAAAATAGAATCAGACACCATGACACCTCGAGTTACTACTGATCTAGTCTTCCCCGTTCTCTCAAGGATAGAAGGTTATTTGTCGGTTAAGAGATGTGTTTTCAGAGGATGTCGCCTCTTGAAAGTACACCTTCTCTTACATTTTGCCTTACACGAAAAAACAAACAAACAAAAAAAAATAAAACCGCATCCTCATTACAGTATTATCACAATGTGTCAAATAAAACATTTATAATATTAGCTGCTTAAAACTGTCTGGCACCGTCGAACTTTGGAGACTCCGAAAGTCCCGATGGTGTCTTTGCTGCCGAGGAACAAAATCTTTTCAATTTCATTCTAAATATTAGAAAATAGACATAGGTGTTCACAAATTTCAATAACTCATTAGTTGCCACGTTCATACATTTCTTTTTTTCAGTAAAAAAAAAACCCGGTCACTTAGCATTAAACATGGGCTCTGTAGCATTATCTTCGGCTCCTATGGTAAGATTTGAGGATATAGGAAGCACGGAGCTCTTGGGAACATACTATGTAGGCTTTGAAAGTATGGGATTAACGCCACTCCTCTCTCTACCAAATTAACAAGGAAAATACATAAGTATATACAGTTACAATGTCTAGGCATCCATAAATAAATAGATAACTATATAAATATATATATATAAATAGAAAATATAAACGTATATATATATGCACATATGTATACATTCATACATTCACTATTAATTTATGAATATGTACAGCTTCGCATATCCAAGCATTCTCATAAACGCCAGCATGATAACGCATGCACACAATCAAGTGCATGATATTGTGGATATAAAGTGTCTCAGAAGCACAAATATTATATGTAATTTTCATTTTGTATCACATGATATTCAAAGGCACTAACAGAAGGCACTGAGTTGTACTTAAAGGCCACCTTATTATCGCAGGCCTTGGTATAGGGTATCAAGCCGATATGCTTTATCAGCAGCAATCACTTTAACTATAACAGGCAATACTGTCCTTATCACAAGACACTGATATTGTTTTTTTTGGGGGGAGACAGGTATTTTATGCAGTTGCAATCACCCTGGATTTAAAGGCACTGGGACTGTATCACAATATCCAGCTACACTAAGGTCGAGCAGACGCGTGGTGCAGGGAAGTTGACGAGTGTAAACAGAAGTGCACAAGAGAACGCCCCGAACGGCTCGTGTGCGAATGAATGCATGGAGTTTGAAGAAAAACCCTGCAACGCTTCACCATGGAGAGCCGAGTGGAGGAGCTTTTTGGACACCTGCCGAGCGAAGGGAATATTTTGGAGCACGAGGACGCCACTCTCTTCGCCAGGGGGAGGAGCCACTCGTGTGTTTGTCGGTCCACCTGCATTAGGAAAGCAAAAGCGATATATCAGCATCAGATAATTAACGTCGTTGATCTGATCCTTCGACGTGTTTTTGAAGGTTGATTATATATCCAGCCACAGTAAAAAGACATCACCACTAAGCATATATGGTCACCATACAATTTACCAGAATATATCATAGAACTCTCATTATCATCATTACCAAACCCTGCCCTCACTCAATACCGCAAGCAACGCCACACCACTGGTTCGGTTGTTTGAGGCAGTCGAACCCTCCAAACTCACAATCCTGTAGTGGTGGGACAGGCCGAGATTCGTTGGCACATTTTTAACCTTCTTAGCATCTGGAAAGAAAGAGCAGGGGGTGATTACAAGCTGTATTCAAGAGTACGTGAAGTGGGAAAGTCCGAGAGAGAGAGAAGAGAGAGAGAGAGAGAGAGAGAGAGAGAGAGAGAGAGAGAGAGAAGAGAGAGAGAGAGAGAGAGAGAGAGAGAGAGAGAGAGGGGGGGGGGGAGAGGGAGAGAGGGAGAGGGAGAGGGAGAGAGAGAAGAGAGAGGAAAGAGAGAGAGAGAGAGAGAGAGGAGAGAGAGAGAGGAGAAGAAAGAGAGAAGAGAGAAAGAGAGAAAGAGAGAAAGAGAGAGAGAGAGAGAGAAGAGAGAGAGAGAGAGAGAGAGAGAGAGAGAGAGAAAGAAAGAAAAGAAAGAAAGAGAGAGAGAGAGAGAGAGAGAGAGAGATGAAGAGAGAGAGAGAGAGAGAGAAACAAACAGAAAGGGTAGGCCTATGTATTCTGTGGGCTCCTGAATTCTAAGGCGAGGCAGTTCTTAGGCCTGTTAGAATTGTGCGAGGCGCGACCCAATGACTATCCGTATATACAGAAATGTATATACACAAAAATAAATACACATCTGTCCATCTATCAGATATATTCACACATTTATTTATCTATACGGTAGATAAGCAAGACTAACCTGATAGATATGCATTTATTTCATTTCATAAGCATGTCCGTATAATGAATGTTCATTGGGTCAGGCCTCACAAAATTTTAACAAACGGCCTTTTGACTACAGCCCTAAAGTGTGATATTAAGGAGTACTTTTCTACTCCAGGTCGAGATCCAAGCTACACTTTGTTCAATTCTGACTGTGGTATAGGGTATATGACTATCAATAACAATGCGATTTATCAGTCAAAACACAGTGTCCTTAAATATCAGAAATGTTATTCAAATTTTGCATTGCCCGGAAATGGGAAACGATTGGATTTATAAAAAGAAAAAAAAAAACAAAGTATTTATCGCTTGGTAATTTTCTGAGAGTAACACGGGGTGTTACAAAAGGAAAAAGAAAAAAAGAAAGAAAAAGAAAGAAAGAAAAAAAAAAGCTAATTTATTTTCCGATGTAAGTCAACATACATTCCAGATATGTAATTCCTAGTCATATTTAGGAATCTACATCAAATGTCCCAGATTTCTTGCTCACTCTCCCACTCATCAGTCCTGTATCCTTCCCAATTTGCTCGTTCTCACCCGACTCGCCTCACTCACTACCTCAATATCCTCCTTTGTATTTCCCTTACTCCCCTCCTCTTCCCTCACTCGCGCTCATCTCACTCTTTCGTGCTCCCCTCACTGTCCCTCATTTCTTCACTCTCCGTCCGCCTCCCCTCACTCCCTCGCACTCTTCTCACTCTCTTTCGTGCTCCCCTCGCTCTCCCTCCTTATTTCCTCACTCTCCGTCCGTCTCTTCTCAGTCTCCATCCTCATTTCCTCACTCCCTCGCGCTCTCCTTACTCTCTACTCTCTTTCATGCTTCCCTTACTGTCTCTCCTCATTTCCTCATTCTCCGTCCTCCTCCCCTCGCGCTCTCCCCCCTCTTCCATGCTCCCCTCGCTGTCCCTCCTCCTTTCCTCGCTCTCCTCCGACTCACCTACGTGCTCTCCCCCCTCTTTCGTGCTCCCCTCACTGTCCCTCCTCCTTTCCTCGCTCTCCGCCGACTCACCCACGTGCTCCCAGACGACGTGGTTGCCGACCTCCACGACGCGCTCGGGCCGGACGATGTACTTGGAGCGCTGACCGGGTTTGTGGGGCGTGGTCAGCCGCCGCGTCTTATACGCCGTCAGGAGGTAGGGCACGAGGGCCTCTTCGCCGAACAGACCCGGGCCGAGGGCGTCTTCGCGGCCGTAGAGCGCGTCGTGCACCGCCGTGTCGTTCTCCCAGTACAGGTAGAAGAACACATTCTGTGGACATCGCCGAGGGTCGTCAGAGGTACGAACAAGCGTGCTGAAGAGTGTGCGTGGATGATAGTGTCTCTTTTTGATAGAATGACTGGAACTGTAATGCCATCTTATACGTATCTCCGTTGCTAGAATGATTGGAATTATGGTGCCTCGTTATGTGTATCTCTGTAACTAGAAGTACTGGACCTCATTCTGTGTATCTCTACTGCTAGAATGATTGGAATTATGATAGCACCTTACATGTATCTCTTTTGCTAGTATGATTGTAACTCAAATTCCACCTTAAGTAAACGTTTGGTGCGTTGCCTTGAGAGAGTGTCTTCTTTTAAGTCTGTTAGAACTGTGATCTGTCCAGAGGGTCTTCAGTAGGTAATGAATCATCAGAAATTAAATGAAATGTGTGAATGGGATGTAAGTATTGTAATATTATCGATAACATATTCATTCTTTTGATTGCCTGGCATATCATTTGATTTTAAAATAGAACTTATGTTCTCCTATGATATAATACCGATTTAAGTGTTTGCTTGACATACTTCCAAATATTGTCGCTGATTAAGATTACAGTACTTGTTGCCATAGGAGGAGCCTAGGAAGTGTAAAACAAGAAAAAATAGGTTATCGTCCATCAGTTCATATAAAACATCACAGACTCACTTGGAAGATATAAGCATCAAATTCCCCAAGCGACTGCACCACTTCGGGGAGACTGCTGTGCTTCCTGGGCACCAAGAACTCGTCCACGTCCACCATGGCTGCGAGGGAATAGCGACCCACCGACCTGAGGTTACAGTCATTCAGGGCCGCGAAGATCCCCTCTGTCCTAATCTGCTTTTGGGACGCGACCGGCA